TACTACGTACTACTATATATATATATATATATATATATATATATATATACTATATATATATATATATATATATATATATATATATATATATATATATATATATATATACATATATATAGATAGATAGATAGATACATAGATAGATAGATAGATAGATAGATAGATAGATAGATAACTTACATCGTAAGCGGCCTCTCGCATGAACTGTTTGGCTGCGTCGTTCCAGATAGCGGGAACAGTGATGACCCAGCGGATGTCTTCCTCTCGGATTTGCATGCTTTGAGAGACTTCGGCTATTGCATCCATCATGTGCTGTTTCAGGTATCGCAGGGCGTGAGTGAACACGTCCAAGGCTGGCAGGGTTCTCCCGTTTTTGGCTGTCAGGTAGACGCTTCTGTCCAGGTCCTGAATCGGAAAGCATTCGCTGAATCCTGAATTCGCTCTCTAATAAATGTAGGTATCAACAATTCTAACTAAAACAGAAGTTGAACATTCGTCAGGTATAATTGTTGCAAAGGTACCAAACGGAAATAGTATAATCTGACATAGAAAGGCAGTTTTTATTTCAACTTTACGTAAGAACGAGAGTATACCTTATAAGAAGCATGCAGTCGCATCTTGAAACGATCAAAGAAATAGTAGTCCTTGTCTTCATTCTCCTCGAGTAAGGTGGTATACTTCGCACATGCTTCGAAACCGAAAGCCACCAATTCTCCCTCGGGTGACAGAAGTACCGATGTCGGTGTTTTGTACGACTGAAAGCCCACGTCTGCGCCCCAGTTTTTATTCACGATGATATCGTCTGGTGACGACATGAAAGAAAAAGCATAGCCGCTGTAGGTTGTGCCAAAGTCAATGGCGGCAACCATTAGGTATGTCTGGTTCGTAGGAGTAGCCATGGTAGACTGTGGAAAGCGTTCAAGCTTGTCTCTATATTTATACAAAATGAATTACATGTATGCGCACGCGCCTTGGACTAACAAAATTATAATTATGTCCCTACAGTCCCTGCCGAATTATGTCCCTACAGTCCCTACCGATCGCGTGTTTACGAAGGGGGAGGGCATGCAATTACAAATCGACGTAAATAACTCACCAGTAGGCATATATTATATCGTCGACGTATGGTTATCTTTATCGATAACTTTTGAGTGTGTGGTATTAGTGACTACTTAATATGGTACCCTGATCTTGCACGTTAATTTTTATGTTTTGTCCTTCAAACTATTATTACGTTTTTTACAGTGATCTTGGTGCCCTGATCATGAGTGCCATGTAACATAGCACTGCCTTTGCCGTCCATTTTATTCGAAACATCATTTATCTCAATTAACATGGCAGAAATGTTTAAGCCTTGTGAAGAACGATTCATGGGGTCGTTTGGCGTCACGGCCTGACTCGGAACCAAGAGGTCCTGAGTTCGAGGCCTGACATGCTACCGATCTTGTGCCCTTGGGAAAGGCACCTTACACGACTTTATTGTTTCAATGCAATGGCTGCTCTTCAAGGCAGTGTATTTTATAAACGTGTTGAGACCATGTCAAACTATGACTTACATTGCTTATTTGAATCATCATATTAATCTATAATGTAATATACTTACGTCTAGGCACAACTTTTTCCTGTCTACTCCTATAAATATCGTATATAAACTTATACTCTCATAGATAAGATAGTGTTCTGGACACAGGCAAACAGTGTAGGACAACATCTGTTTATAATAATTTGTCTCCAATTTGCAGTGGGTGTGGTCAAAAGTAAACAACAGTTTTCTATGGTTATATAATCGCGGTCATGATAGAGGAAGCAATACGATTTCGGTTTGTTTTCCCTTTTTACGCTTCAGTCCTATGATTTTTTTTTTAAATTTGAATTTCAACATTTACATACAGTGACCATAAGTGCTACTTTTTATCAGAAATATTTATCAAAGTCAACTGAATGTATTGAGAAAATATATTGTGTCTAACTACTACATCATAACAGCATAAATGGTAGTATAATATTAAGATAAAAATGGCGGGTTGGTGACGAAATAGGGTTAACAACATTACATAGAACTAAATTCGTTGATAACATTGGGCGTAGGTACTAGAATAGATTAAAAGCATTACATAGATCTATATAAGTATAAAATATTAGGAGGTGAATAGTGGATGTATTATTAGATAAAAGTACAACGTAGATAAAGGTATTTACATATATCTGAAGTATTTAAGTATCTAGCATATAGGGCTTACTATGAAATAAATGGCAGCACACAGGGATGCGCAGTACGAATCTGCCAGAGTCGGCTAGGAATTCAGCATCCGAATCATGTAAGGAATCGCACTAGATCTATATCTTTTCAGTTCTACAGAACACAGAGTCAAGTTTGTGGGATGAGCGAGTCGTCCTGCTGCTAATCGAGGTTCTAGACGGTGGCAGTAGATGACGGTGCAGCTTAGCGTGCTTAACCCTACCTAGACCGGGCTTTTTTTGACCCCCTAAGAACTCGCGAACGGTATGTCGTATGACCACTAAATTTTCACAGAATGGTGTACTAGTAAAAATTTATCATGTTTACAATTCTTATGTCGTTATGACGTAATATGACGTCATTATGACGTCATTAATGTGATTTTATTGGCCAAAACTGTCTAAATAGGTTTTTCCCTGAAAACTAAATGGTATTCAACATAACTGTACCAAAAGTGTTTATGACAGAATATTTTGGTGTACTAAGTCTTATGTTGCCCATAGCAACACCGGTGACGTCATAAAATGACGTCATGCATATTTAAGATATCCGCCATCTTGGATCATCAATCTTGAATTTTTCAAAAAATAGTTTTTTTTTTTACATGATAAGGCCTGAAATACATTGTTAATATACTAAAGACCTTTATTTAAACCTTTTTTTGGAAAAAGAAATGGAAGTATTGATGAAATTTAAATGAAAAAAAAAACTGTATATACCTGTTTAATGATATGGTCCGCCATCTTGGATTTTGGCCAATGACGTCATCAAATTAGCATAAATTATGCATATTTAATGATAAAATTTACATAAAATTATATGGGATGTTATTAATATTAGAAACCATGAGTAACTTGACACAAAACCCATAAAATTCTATTGTTGAAACAAAAAGTACTAAATTTAGCAAAAAATGCCTGTCAGCAACCCGTTGCTATGGCAACACAAAAAAATTATTATCTTATTCCAATGATAGAGAATTGTTGCCAACAATATTCTAGGAAAAGTCACCAAGTTTGGCCGTTCTACGGCTAGCCGTTCAGACGCTAGATGACATCAAAGTTGCCGCGGGCACTTTTAGCCCCCCCGCCGGTCGTAG